GACTTACAATAAATCTTATTAAATAATGTGCAAAGTAAGTCTAATTAGACGAAATACAGAATTTTGGACGAAAATATACATAACTATGCAAATATAGATTTCTGAAAGCCAAACATGTAAAAGTGTTGAATGCATACTTAATTTATCAGCAAAGAGTAACGACTTTTGAATGATTTGAACAGATATTGGTATTGTTCAAGTGATCAAACCACTTTCTCTTAATTTGCATATTTAGTGTTTGAGTAAAAGTGAGTGATATATGTATATCAATTTTTTAGAGGTTTATGATACTTTTAATAGTTTGCTATATGCTTATGCATTAAGCATTTTGCACACGGAAATTTTCTAAATTCTTATAGGATTCACATAAAAAACTTGTAAGATTCAGGTAAGCAAACATATTCCAGTAACTTTCCACGAAGACATTCCATATGTGGACAGTTTTTAGTCAAAACTTCAATAAAAATCAAAATTTTATACAAAAAACATCAAAAATAATTTGAGTATGTATGTATTATATTGAAATGAAGTATTAATTTGTATTATTTTGTTGAAGTTTGTTTTGTAGTTTTATTAATTAATTACTATTTCGAGTCAGAAGTTCCAGGTCGCCTCGAAAGCCTGATGTCAAGCAGTAGTGACATCGTTTTTTATATGAAAATATAGATAGCAATATGTTTCAATGAAAATAGCCCTCCCCCATTATCGCTGCATCAAAAATAAATCATAAGTCAACATTGAAATATTCTAATTTAATATACGTAATTAAGGCCCAATTTACAAAAATCAATGACATAACCCAACAAGTTTGTAAGACTATTAAAAGTTTTGATTACTGTTAATATATATAAAAAATGTAATTATCGCACTAATAAAAATGTATACACATATAGGTATTGGTAATTAGATAAAAAACCAACATGTCTCTGATGTTTTAATTATAACAAAAATATTTTTGCGAGTTTTTTATGTAGGTGAACGATTTATTAGGATTAACATAGCTAATATGTTAATGATTGTTTTTTATATGATGCTAATTAAATACTTTAATATTAAATTTATAATAATTTTGAATATAACTTGCCTTAGTGTGTGTCAATTGAATAGATGCCTCTTTGACACAGAATGTATATGAGTAGACTATGATGTATATAATGATTTCGTAGCATGTTGTGAATAAAGCTAGTGGTGTATGGGCAAATAGGCAAATTGCTGGTACATCCCTTATTCGAGGAATATTAAATGTTTACAATAGATTATTATAAATACGTATTGTAGCTTATATATGTTTACAGAAAAGTAAATAAACTAAACTTTTTCAATCGAATTTGAAATTTAGGACATTGTAGAATATTTATAAGAATCATATAAACTGAATTGCAAAGTTAAAATTATGTATTTAAATTATATAAATGAGCTCTATAACTTTGGCTAGAATTAAAATTGAAATCCGAATTATTTTCGATATACAAAAAAAAAATCTTTTCCCAAAAGTAATCATTTCGTCAACACAAGTAGAAAGTTTTTTAAAAAATCGGATGCTTGGTTCTCTCAAAAACTGCTATATTTGGCACATTTAGCTCGGTATTTCTAACACGGTTGGACCCACCTTTGTCAAAAACTAGCCACCACTTCTCCTCGTCATTACAAATTGATATTTATTTGGATCATTCAAATCGCATGCTACGTTCTCTCAAAAACTCCGGATTTTTATTTTCTGCACTCTTTGCTCCATATCTTTGAAATGGCTGGATCTGCCTTTTCCAAAAACTAATCAGCACATTTTCCTGTCAATAGGAATCGAATGCTTTTTGAACCATTCAAATCGGTTGATTCGTGCGCCCGAAAATGATGATAAAAATTGTATCCATACATATGTACATAAACACACACATACACACACACTCACATACATCCATTTTTGCTAAGTTATGCCAAAATGTTCAGAAATCCTTGAAACGTAAAGATATGCCAAAATTGTAATTTTTGCTTATTAGACGATTACAATAACTTTCTCTACGAGGACTTGATAAATTAATGTTTTATTAAATCAACAATTGCAACGAAATATGTAAAATTGAACCCATAACATCTATTTTTATCAGCGTATCAGTTGAAAATGGTTACCTTTTTATAATATTCACAATTATTTGACGATAATGGCTAGTAGTTTGTCCATTTTCGGTACCGTATGAAACATTTGTGCCGAGGATAGTACTCGTAAGTTAGCCACTACATCGTGCAGGACATGCGATATGTTGGCGTCGATACGCGAGCCGGCCTTGAGTCTGTTCGAAGCTCCTCTCGGAATCAATAGAGCATTGATTTGCGCAGACACATTGCCAATAAAATACACGTCATTAGCAGTAAACTGATTGTGCGAGATCGCATCGATAATATGCATAACAGAAGCGAAATGCACAAATACAATGTGTGCTTTACTTATTAACTCACGACTGCTCAACAGTTGTTATAAACAAAGTCTCGGTGATGGTGGTAGAATTTCAAACCATAAATGCTACTCATTATATTGTCTCTAAAGTAAGATGAAATTTTTGTATGATAAAAAGAAACAGAGTACAAAGTTTAAAAAATAAATTGCTCAAACACCATCGAAACACTAAGCACCGTCAACTTTTAATTAGGGTAGGGCGGGGCTAGTTGAGCAAATTTTTATTTAAACGGATGTAGTAAAATTTAAGAGCTATAGCTGTTTAAATGCAAAAAGTCAAGTATGCTCAATTTACCCCATAGGTGGGGCAAGTTGAGCACTAAGAAAGTATAATAAAATCATAGGTTCAATGTCGATTAATGATGAAATAAAATAAGTTTTTAATAACCAGTTCTATATTAATAGTCTTTACTTACAGAGAAAACAAAACTTATAGTAATTTGCTTTGAATAATTAACGAAAAGTAGAATCAACAAAACAATATCGTATCTTAGGAATTATTTTATCATTATATTCAGTATTTTTGTTTAAAATCATTATTTCTTTATATTACTCATAGGCTTAGCATAAATCTTAAAAATAATAATTAATTTATGGCGTCTCCCTACACCTAGCGGCGAGAGTAACAACCAGAAACGCCAATACCAACTTCATAGACACGTTGCGTGTGAAGAACGTCGCAAACTGTCAAGTTGGCGACGGCGCATCGTGCAACACTTGCGTGGGCTCGAGGGATGCGAAAAATGCAATCTCATTCTCTTGTGCATCAAGCCTTGTAAGAGTGAAAATTAAAAAACCTAACCTAAATACACTTTATATCAGTGAGATGCTTTATACTTGTTTTGTTATTATAAATTAAACTTATATACACGTTATTCAGTTCTTTTAATTATAAATATAAATTATATATAGACCCAACATCTATATAATTGGTGACCGCGACTGAGAAAACACGTGGCTGAATTCTGATCTTGATACTACAAGCGAGGTATACTATATCATTAATAATGTCTTCACCCGCAAACACTGAAGCCTCACAAGATCTAAATCGATCGCTCATCGATTTTGACGAAACTCAAGTTCGCACGCCATGTGCGAGCAACTCCAACCAAGTGAACAATGATTTAAAAACGGAACAAATTTACAACGTGGGCAGGCATACAATAACCCCGTTCATGGAAGATGCTCCTGATCTATGGTTCCTGTTGATTGAGACAGAGTTTCTTGGAGATAGGATCAAATCCGACCATGCGAAGTACACGGCGGTATTGCGTGCTCTGGACAGGTCCACTTTACACCTGGTAAGCGATGTGTTGCGAAATCCGCCAACCGAAAATAAATACAACACGTTGAAGAGCATAATCCTAGACCGAGTATCCGAGTCGAGGTCAAAGCAAGTAGACAAATTGTTAACAAACGTTGTCCTAGGTGACAAAAAGCCATCCCAGCTACTACGGGAAATGATTGACCTGGCTCGGAGTGAAATCTCGGAGGATATCATCCATAAACTTTGGTTGGACAGACTCCCACAACACATCCGGCCTCTACTGCTTGTATCGAAAAACATTGGGCTACAAGCCATTGGCGAGATGGCAGACAGGCTTGTAGATACTTGTGGACTGCCATCATCGGTGATGGCCACAGCGAGCAGAGCACCTGAACCAAGAAGTGACCGCACCCAAGAAATTCTGCTTGCCATGATGCAGAAACTAAATGCCTTGACGACAGAAGTGGAGAATTTAAAACATAGCAGAGAACATGACGAGAGAAGCAGGACCAGAAGTCACTCCAGGCACAGGAGAGGGAGATCAAAGACGCCGTCCAAATCACAGCTATGCTTTTACCATAGCAGGTTTGGAGAGAAGGCTACCAAATGCATAGAACCCTGTTTGGTTAAGACTCTCCTGAAGCCGGAAAACTAAAGTCACCATCAACACCAGGAGCAAGTAATGATGGTGATATTAATTCTGTCTGTCCAGAGCTCCGACTATGTGTGACAGACAGAAAAACACGGATAAATTTTCTTATAGACTCTGGCTCCGTTCTCTCGATTCTTCCAGCTAGCAAGTTTGCAACCGGTCGTGCCAAGGAAGAGCATGTTCTGTATGCAGCCAATTCCAGCCGAATATCCACCTATGGAAAGCGGACTCTCGAGCTGGACCTTTCGCTGCGCAGACCCTTCACTTGGCAGATGTGGCAACAGCCATAATCGGTGCAGACTTGCTAAGCTACTACAATCTACTAATAGACCTGAAAGGCAAAAGACTAATTGATTCAACGACAGGCTTAGCCTCTGATGGCAAAGTGCTGAAGACCCAGAACATTAACATTTCCACAATTAACCCACACCAACCTTTCAGGAGCTTACTAAACAAATATATAACAATCACTAGAACGCCACAGAGACTAACAATTAAACCATCTCCTTTCGCAGCGAGCAGAGCACCTGAACCAAGAAGTGACCGCACCCAAGAAATTCTGCTTGCCATGATGCAGAAACTAAATGCCTTGACGACAGAAGTGGAGAATTTAAAACATAGCAGAGAACATGACGAGAGAAGCAGGACCAGAAGTCACTCCAGGCACAGGAGAGGGAGATCAAAGACGCCGTCCAAATCACAGCTATGCTTTTACCATAGCAGGTTTGGAGAGAAGGCTACCAAATGCATAGAACCCTGTTTGGTTAAGACTCTCCTGAAGCCGGAAAACTAAAGTCACCATCAACACCAGGAGCAAGTAATGATGGTGATATTAATTCTGTCTGTCCAGAGCTCCGACTATGTGTGACAGACAGAAAAACACGGATAAATTTTCTTATAGACTCTGGCTCCGTTCTCTCGATTCTTCCAGCTAGCAAGTTTGCAACCGGTCGTGCCAAGGAAGAGCATGTTCTGTATGCAGCCAATTCCAGCCGAATATCCACCTATGGAAAGCGGACTCTCGAGCTGGACCTTTCGCTGCGCAGACCATTCACAGTAGCAGATGTGGCAACAGCCATAATCGGTGCAGACTTGCTAAGCTACTACAATCTACTAATAGACCTGAAAGGCAAAAGACTAATTGATTCAACGACAGGCTTAGCCTCTGATGGCAAAGTGCTGAAGACCCAGAACATTAACATTTCCACAATTAACCCACACCAACCTTTCAGGAGCTTACTAAACAAATATATAACAATCACTAGAACGCCACAGAGACTAACAATTAAACCATCTCCTTTCGCACACAGGATTACCACAACAGGTCCACCAGTTGCTGCCCGGTTCAGGAAGATTTTTGGCGAAAAAGCATCAGCTGCAAAAGCCGAGATACAAAATCTCCTGAACAGTGGCATTTTGAGACCTTCAAGCAGTCCGTGGGCAAGTCCAATACATATGGTATAAAAAAAGGATGGATCTTATAGACTCTGTGGCGACTATAGAAAACTTAATTCAAGCACGCAACCAGACAAATATCCTCCTCCACTAATCAGTGATGTTTTTACAAACCTGCACAATAAAACAATTTTTTCAACAATAGATCTTGCAAAAGCGTATCATCAGGTGCCGATGCATGAAGAGGACATACAGAAGACTGCCATCATAACTCCATGGGGATTATATGAGTACCTCTGCATGCCTTTTGGACTGAAGAATGCCACTCAGACATTCCAGTGCTACATAAACCACATATTCCAAGACATTGACTTTAGTTTATATATGTGGATGATATTCTGGTTATGTCTGAGAACATGGAGCAACACCATCGCCACCTGCAGATAGTTTTTGAGCGTTTGCAAGAACATTCTCTAACCATCAACACCAACAAATGCGTCCTAGGCAAGTCCCAAGTAGATTTTCTGGGTTATAAGCTCAGTGAGAAAGGCTATTCTCCAGCTTCAGACCGGGTGGACAAGATTTTGAACTTCCCACAGCCAACAACAGTTCTGGAACTGCGTAGGTTTCTGGGAATGCTGAATTATTACAGGAAATCAGTCCCAAAAGCAGCCAAACTGCAAGCACCGCTGAACAGTTACCTACGTAGTTCAGTCAAGAAGGACAAAACACCTGTCATTTGGAACCCAGAATCTCTGCAAGCCTTTGAGGACGTAAAGAATGCTCTTGCAAACGCCGCTTTACTTCATTATCCAGCTGCTGCAACAAATATATGTTTAGTAACAGATGCGTCAACAACAGCCATTGGAGCCACTCTGGAGCAGGAAGAAAATGGTGCATGGCACCCTATAGGTTTCTACTCCAGAAAGCTCACATCCACGGAACAGAGGTATTCAACATATGACCGAGAGCTTCTAGGCATCTTTGCGGCCATAAAATATTTTGAATACCTGCTGGAAGGTAGGCATTTCAGTATCAAGACAGACCACAAACCCATCACATATGCATTTCAGCAGAGACCTGAAAAAGCGTCGGACAGACAGCGTAGGCAATTGGAATACATATCCCAGTTCTCTACTGAAATTGTGTATGTGAAAGGTGAAGAAAATGTAGTGGCAGATACATTATCAAGAATTAACACTATTGAAATGCCTACCAGACTGTCGGCTGAACAAATATGTATAGAGCAAAGCTTGGATCCAGAAATGCAGGAGCTGCTTGGTGGAGAAACTTCTCTTAGATTACATAAATTAACATTGGATGGTTTTCCGATCTATTGTATAATTGAGTCAAACTTTGTTAAACCTTATCTCCCACAGAGCCTCCGCAAAACTGCATTCGACGTAGTCCATGGTATTTCTCATCCAAGCATCAGGACCACATCCAGGGAGGTACGCAGCCGGTATGTTTGGCCTGGAATTGGAAAGGATGTTGCTACTTGGACTCGTCAATGCATATCCTGTCAAAAGTCCAAGATCCATAAACATAATCATTTCAATCCTTTGCACATCCCTATTCCTGATGAAAGATTCTCTCATATTCATATTGACATAATTTCCTTACCCAATACTAATGGTTTTCCTTACTGCTTAACAATTATTGACAGATTTACAAGATGGCCGGAAGCCATCCCACTGAGAGACATCACAGCTGAGACAGTCACGCAGGCATTGTTTACGTGCTGGATTTCCAGATTTGGTACACCAACTACAATAACATCAGACCAAGGCACGCAGTTTGAGTCATCTCTCTTCAAGTCCTTGGCACAGGCAGTTGGTGCAAAGAAAGCACGTACGACAGCATATCACCCTCAAGCAAATGGATTAGTAGAACGTTGGCACAGAACCCTAAAAGCTGCACTGATGTGTTCTTCTGAACCTTGGATCAAGACACTACCCTACGTACTACTTGGTCTACGGAATTCATTTAAAGAAGACATCAAGACATCAGCAGCAGAGATGGTTTACGGAACCACATTGAGACTTCCAGGTGATTTTTTCAATACATCTAATAACTCACAGAATCCACAGGTCTTTCTAGAGAATCATCGCCGAATCATGTGTGCATTGAAACCAACTCCAACAGCCCACCACAACAAATCCAAGATTTTCATTTTGAAAGATATGGGCACATGCACACATGTATTCCTCAGAGCAGATCATGTACGAAAGCCCTTGGAACCACCTTACAGAGGACCCTATGAAATACTTGAGCGAGTTTCTGATAGGATTTACAAACTTCGCATTAATGGGGCCACTAAGAACTTCGCTGTTGAAAGGCTAAAACCAGCATATATAAATAAAACAGATGCAGATTACGAATCACTTTCTCAACCACTTCATAGACATCCCTGGGAGTCATCAAAGGAACCTACAAAGAAAACAATCAAAAAGAAAGTTGCGTTCAATATTTGACAACACACATTTAACCTTATTTCTATTCTGACAGATAGCTAACCTTCATCTTGGGGGGAATGATATGGCGTCTCCCTACACCTAGCGGCGAGAGTAACAACCAGAAACGCCAATACCAACTTCATAGACACGTTGCGTGTGAAGAACGTCGCAAACTGTCAAGTTGGCGACGGCGCATCGTGCAACACTTGCGTGGGCTCGAGGGATGCGAAAAATGCAATCTCATTCTCTTGTGCATCAAGCCTTGTAAGAGTGAAAATTAAAAAACCTAACCTAAATACACTTTATATCAGTGAGATGCTTTATACTTGTTTTGTTATTATAAATTAAACTTATATACACGTTATTCAGTTCTTTTAATTATAAATATAAATTATATATAGACCCAACATCTATAAATTTATGGAAGTTAACGGTAATTGTCTTAATGACAGAACAAGTTTGGCAACTATGCTCAACTAACCCCAACTCGGAATTTCAAAATAAAAGTGAGTTTACAAAAAAACCGTGAGAATTATAGCCAGAATCTCTATGCATATTAAAAGTACTTTAATTATATGGAAGAATAACATTTACCTGTTTGAAAATGGATAACACTTGACTAAACCAGACGAAAACTCGTGATGAATTACTTTTTTAGTTTTTGGTCTCAAAATAAACAAAACGCCCGTGAGCCTCACTCATTTGTCCAGCGGCTACTAGCGATCGCGGGATGTCTATTTCTCCCAAACCTCTATCTTTCCGCCATATAATGCCTAAACGGACGGTGAATAGTTTTCGAGATATTTCGATTGCTCAACTTGCCCCTATGCTCAACTAGCCCCGCTCTACCCTACCCTTTGTATAACCCATTACTCATTAACATCACTCATTTAATTGCGCGCACTCATTGAATTGTGGGCACAGTTTTAAATAATAGTGGTCAAATTTTTACACGTATGACAAGAGTAGGGGGGACTGGGTTAGTGCACACTCCCAAAGAAAGTTACGACAGGCATAAATTAGGTTAAAAAGCAATAGCTATAAATACCAATATGGTTTATAATGACTTTTATCATGGGAAATATGTAACAAAACTCTCATTTTTAAAATTATTTAAACAAAGCTTATAAATAAATATGATAATATAGAAAAAAAAACATAATATTTTAGACAAAGTTAACAAATAATCTTTGTCAATTTCTCTTTTTTTCATTTATTGATTTTTCCTTTGAAACATTTGGAAATAGTAGAGATTCAATGTAACAACGAAAACTTCTTCGAACAAATTTACTACCCTTTTCTCCTTTTGGACCCTATCTTACTACCGTACCCTGGCACAAACGTACCAAGTCTCCACTACTTGCCTATACACAAAATTCTGATAACTTCTCCAAGGCGAGTATATTCATCAAACACAGCTAACTGTTTAAAGGCAGAACCTTTAAATTTTATTATCAATATCACGTATATTATTGTAAAATTAACATTTTTTCAGTGTATATCATAAAAATGATCAGTTTGGAACATCGTACGAAAATTCTCTGTCACCCTAAGCCCACAATGACTCAAGTTTAATTTAGCTCAACAACTTACTGAGTTCAATTCTTTGATTGTCAATTACTTCAATTGTTTGCATAATTTTAAGTGAGACAGAACCTATCTATGAGAAATTGTACCTATTAAAATTCGGGGAATTGAGGAAGCTAGAAAATTTTAAAATATTATATGGGTACAATTATTATTAATATTATTTTAAAATATTATATGGGTACATGAAATTTAGCTGAAACGAGTTTAAAATTCATATTTTTACGAACTTTTTTTATTAATTTGATTTAATCAATAACTTTGATCCAAAAAATTTAATTACCGAAATTACTCTATTGTGGATGATAAATTATAATATTCTTTGATATAAAGTAAGATCTGAAATAAAATAAAAGTTGTCTACAATATTTAGCAATAGTGGATGAACTGAATGTTCTTCGATTTACATAGGAAATTCTGAAATTAGTTTCTGTTCCAATTAGTAAATATGAACTATATATGAATAAAACTGATACAGAAATAAATTCATAGATAAGTCAACAAGTAACAAATCGACTTTAAAAGTCAGAACCGTAAAGAAAAATCTCTTCAATTTTTCAAACATAGAAAATAATATTATCATAATTTTTGTTAGTAATATATTCAAGATCACAACTAATTAGATAATACTTATTCATAAATTGAAAAGTTGGGTATGAGTCACCTTCCCATAACCTATTAGGGGTTGTTCAAGTATTACGTATGCAGATTTATTACAATTATTTACCCCCCCACGTCCCTATTGTCAGCAAAAGTAAGCAAAGCTCTTACCCCCTACCCCCATGCTTACGTAAACATTTTGCAATTAATGTAAAAAAATAATAATACTACCTATGACGTAATCATCATCCAGACTCCCCTGCCCCCCATGTCAACCCAAAATAAGCAAATCAACAACCCCCCCTTCCCCCTATAGTGCTTACGTAATACTTGAACGGCCCCTTAACAAATATTTGCGTATTATTTATTTGGGACATGATGTAAAGCAAACTTATTATAAATATTTTTTGGCTATAATGTTTTGTA